GGCTCAGGGCTGCTGCAAAGGGTTACTTTGCTATGCTTAAAATTAATGTGTCCTTTAAGTGCGGTGATTGAATAGAGTTAATGGTTATAAATCAGTTCAAACATTGTAAAACTCAACAGGTTCCCGGAATAAGTGATCAAGACCATATTTTACAAGCATTCCATGAATGTTGCAAGTGCAATACAATACAGGACTGTACTGAAGTAAACTTTGCTTTCAAGGAGACCTGTTCCCACACGCATTCAGAAACGCACACCGTAAAGCACAGAACAAACATCAAGGCATCAAAATAAATCCGAGAAACCACAAACTTGACCTTTCAAAACCCAGTGTTCGTGAGATTAATGTTACTTCCTTTTAAACGGTGAATAAGCAAACAGTTGACACACGTCGACTAATCACCGAATGCAAATTGTTTAGTATATGCATGGGTACGAAGTTACAGTCCATATATATAACGAAATGCAATGTCGATTTAAATAGAACATAAACGTACCCACACTTAAAGAACCGTACAAAAACAGTGGGAATACAGAACAGTATTTATTTAGAGAGAGGCGCGTAGTCAATCATAAGCAGAGGAAAAAACAAAGCTATTGAGCTTGGACTTGAATCGGCGTATGCAATAAAGGGCATGGATGGCTGAGGGAGTTCCAAACTACATGGGCAGCATGGGAGAATGTGCAACTTCCCAATGAGTTCTGAATTGATACTTCTTCACATGACTTGACACCAATAGCACTATCAGGATAAAAATGAGGAACAAGATTTAAAAAAAGCCTTGCTTACTTCAGTGAAGAGTGCATGGAGGGGCGAAAATTGAGATAGAGAGGAGAGGGAGGCATGGCAAAGTCCATGGAGTATCTTGAAGACAGAAAGTAAAATCTTGAAAAAGATAAAGGACTGGATTGGGAGGCATAAAATGGACTGACGTATTGGGATGATGTGGCCTTGATTACGGGAGAAGTCTATCAGCAAAATTTTGGGATTATTTAGAGTTTGCAGATGACGGATTTAGGAAGTTTTGAAGAGGAGAGTCGCAAAAGTCGAGTCAGGATGTGATAAAGGCATGGATGAGGGCCTCTAGTTGTAGCTGGGATAAGGAAATGGCATTTGACAGTTGCACAAATGAAGCAGAGAGCTACTTTAGTTTGAAGATTTGCATATAGGCATGCCCAACAAATACTCTACTAAATGTGTTCTAAATACAGAATCTTGTCTTGTTGGAAATCTGAGAATATATATTTAACAACAAATACATAAGTTATGCTAATAACTATGGGATTTTTTTCAACTGAACAAGAAACAAAAAAACCTGTATCACAAGTTAGATGATGTTTTACATAGTTGGGGTTAATTCAAATGCAAATTTGTCATGAGTGTGTAGCGTATATGAAATTAAATGCTAAACATGTGTGCACAAAGTCTAAATGTTAGTCTCAAGGTAACTACTGTGCTGCAGGAGATCGCTCTAGCTTGCTTCTCAGGGTCATAAATGTTATTCACCTGATGAAGTTTTCTTGATAATCTGACACGAATCCCATATTCAATCCAGGTGACTGCTCATTGAGACAATATACAGGCATATATTGACTACATGCGTGGGCACAGATTTTTAATACAGTGTAGATGCCATTAGTAAGGCTTCTGTACACAACATACCAAAAAAGCAGCTACTATGCTGTAATTTTTCGATTTAAAGCTTTCGTGACTGCAGGGATTCATATTCTTGGTTCTTTCGGAAAAGTCACGTAGAAGGGAAATAATAAAATAATAAAAATACAACAAAATAAAATTATCACGACGTTTCGGACGCTGTCTTTCTGACAGCTCTGTTTCCTCACCTGAGGACGGCTGCTTGCGTTGTGGCCGAAACGTCGTGAGAATTTAATTTTATTGTTTTACTTTTATTATTTTATTATTTCCCTTCTACGTGACTTTACCAAAAGAACCAAGAATACTATACTGTAGTTTCAAGTCTGTGTATAATGGTGGAATGATTTCAATATTTAGAACACACGGTGCTAAATGGACATGTGATCATATCATCACCAGCCGTGATTAATACACTGCTGGATGAACGTCTCCAAAAGCTGTCGCCAACTCTGGGATGCAACAATCGATGTAGCTGAACCTGTATGGGCGCTGATTTCGCACTCCATCGTCTTCTCTTGGGTGTGTTACCTCCTTTGGATGTGACCAGGTCGTTCGCCCCAACTACTTGTGACGTCTCCAGCCCAAGGACACTTAATTTTCAGACAACAGGATGTCGTACTTCGAGTCCATCAGTTCCTCTTTCAGCCACTTAATAAAACTCAAAGCATGCATTTAACCGTGCTTATTTTGCGAAGATTTCAGCTTGTGTTAAAATTGTATTTGTGAGTGTTCACGTCTCTGGATCCGAGTCATAATAACTGGCCATGCTTAAAACCGTTCTTCTTTCTGCACATGCCTTTATTGCTTGTCATTGTGACAGTATACAGTAGTATCGTGAATCGTGAATGCTGTATTGGACTTTATCAAGTTAAATTAATGTAAATTATTATAAATCCCTGTGCAGCAAACGTAATAGACCGCATTCAAGTCTGTGAAACGTTTACGTGCAGCACCATAAAGTATAAATTTAGCTAACAGGGTTGTATTGCACTGTAGATAAAGATCTTTACACACAAAGGTTGAAAGTTCAAATCCAGATCAACGACGACCCAGTAACATCATTAATCCAAGTAAGAAGAGGTTTTACCCTATTAACTGGCACAAAAACTGACACCTTTATTCAAGGCATCATGTTTGCAATAACCACAACACAAGCAGTCAAAATGCAAACAAAAAAGACAACTCTGATAATATTATGCACTGTCCTTGAATTTGATTGGTCCACACCCGAGACAGCTTTTCTTAGAGCCTAGTCTCCATTGGTGTTGGACCAGAAGACGCCAAAAGGCGTACAACTCAAAAACAGCGCACTATCATTAATCCAGTTGATAAAATTACTACAACTTCATGGGAAGTCAATTGAGTCGTGGTCTTATAATAATTATCTGACCCTACGATAGGAATATGGCATTGCCAATACTGGCCCAGGAGCTGCAAAGAAATGAGCTCCGTTTGTAGTATGCTTTTGATACTCGTTTATAAACATCAATACGAGGAAACACTGTAAAGCTAACGGTACTGTAATGTATTATAAAGATAAACATGATATAAAAAATACCCACGTAGCACAATAAATGCCTTAATTCCAATTAAAATGGGCGCTATCACGCATTACAAACTGTACCACACACTCCTTAACATCGGCTCTAAAGTAATGTATTCGTCTACATTACGTCCCCTTGCGTATGTGTTGCAATTGCAATGATTACCAATCTAAAACTGAGTGACGCCGAAGGAAGACCTCTTCCAGGGAAACACTGCTGATCAATCTACTGGGTAACTGTAAGCTGTGTACCTCGTTTCTCCTAGGAGTGGTTCTAAATCGGTTGTCTTGTGTTACCGGAAATCAATTGGAAAACAAAACCGGTAAAACCCGTCAGCGGTATGCCGCACGTTTAGAAATGTGAAGAGCAGCACATATATCTTCTTCAGATCGTTTAACTGAGGCCACAGGGAGATGCTGTGGTATAAAGGTGAGAAAAATGGAGTTGCAATGCTGAGGTAACCGGTTCCATTCGGCTGGGCAGCATTTGCAATCATGATCAGTAATGTGCTTGCATTCCCTCCACCTCTGTCCACGAAGCAGTATATTAAGTGCTCGAGTCGGTGGACTGACAGATTGCGCGTGGTAGGATAAAGTGGGGGTAATGCTCACCTATTCTTTCAGCGTGAAAGTACGTAGGATGGAAATCCTCCCTCGAAGTGGAGGGGGTCCTTTCCAACCACCAGTGGCGTGGGCAATGCAATTACCGGCCTGCACCTTAACCTTATTTTACCTTTTGCCTTAACTGAGAAAGAACGGAACCCACGAGTGAACTTATTTGGGCATTCTGTAAGGAAGCCACCGTTTTTTTTTCCCTGCTTCTGATTTCTATTTTGCTTTATTGCTTGTACTTTTTTGCCTTTTGTTATTTTCGTGAACCAGGTAACTCTCTTGTTAATTACTTTAATACTATCCTGGTCTCTTGAGTACTCACCTGATTAAATAAGGTAAGCTTGACAACTTGTAACTTGTAGGCGTTGGTGATTTAAGAGCCTGTCCGATGGCCAATCAGAGTTGCACGCCACCGTGCCGTTTGTACGTTCTAGTGGTTGGTAATTGCTGCATTCATTCCGAATATTCCACAGGTCGTGGTTACCGGTATACCAACCCTACTTTATAAAGGGTGGCCCATGTATTGTGACCCCAAATCCTTTGCATATTCATTTCTGTTTGAAATACACCTTACTTAAAAATATATAGTTTTAGGGAATTTCAATAGGGGGTCACCATGCATCTGCACCACCCTGTACATTTGGCTGAGTCGAGGCATCCAGTGTGATGGGGTGTTTTTTTTTAGACTGTGGAGTTCCCGCGATATTGCTTTCCACGATACGACTGTACGGCGATCCCAAATTTCACAATGTGATTGTCGCGATACGAGTTTCTTATTGACTTTGCAACAGCATATTGGACCTTTCTTTTACTTGAGCGCGTGTAAATAAAGAGTTCCCTCGACGTTCTTCGACTGCAACGCACTCGGCAATAAGCCTGCCGCAAGTCTTCTTAAATCATTGCAACTTCACATCAACACACGCGTTGTCCTCTACGCAGCACATCAGCACTCCGCTGTAATCCAATACAAGCTACTTATACAATGGTGACGGCAGATAAGTGACACACTACCAATTCAATGAACAGCTATCGATTTACGACATAGCGCGATGTTTTCGACCGCAACAAAATTATGTTTTTAGTTTTTTTACAAATCACGCCGTGACGATATTTGCGTAATGAACGACGATACGAGGTGTCGATGATCGAGGGGAGACATCGTCGGTCACATTGCGACGCCCCTCGGTACCTTGACGCGAGCCTCTCTTGGCCATGGCGATGCAGCTCGACGCGGTCGAGCCAGGCAGGTAACGCGTCTTGGGGTCAGCCTCGGCATGAACGTCTTCCCCTCCTTCTCACTCCCTCTCGGCGGCGTCCTTCTGCCTGTCAGCTTGAGGAACTCATCTCCACGCTCCCACCCACCAACCCCCCTCCTCGAGACGTCTTCTTCACTCCTCGACTCGTCTTTGTCGGCGAAGCTCGCAGGCGAACGCCCGAGTTGTCCGTCTCGGTCCCGTCCCTTGTCACAAGCCGCTCAGCCGCCGAGAGCCACGGCGCGAAGTGACAGCGCGGCGCAGGTGAACGCGCACAGCATTCAAGTCACACCTGTTGCAGGTGGATGGGAGGTGGGGAGGGAAGAGGTGGGGCGGGCTAGGTGGGGGGGGCTATGGTGGGGGGAGCTAGGTGGGGGGAGGGGAGCTAGGTGGGGGGAGGGGAGTTCCTCTTGCCCCAACTGACTCTGCGCTTGCTCAGGATGTGTCCACGTCAATAAAAGTGCGGCGGCGACCTGGTCGAGTTCAGCGGCTCGTGACGCCACATCCCCTCCCTCCCCACCACCCTCCCTCCCCACCACCCTCCCTCCCCACCAACCACCTCCCCACCACCCTCCCCACCACCCTCCCTCCCCACCACCCTACACCCACACAAGGACAAAGATCCCACCCCCCGTATAGCCTGCAACAGGCTGTTGGGGCAAGTGCTGTTAGCGAGTAGCACACCTATGAAGGCCGGCACGGCACACGAGGTTGGTGGGTGGCCAGTACCACGCCCGGCCGCCTTTGTCTCTCCCCCACCCCCCACCCCCACCCTAGTGGCGATATTTAACTATAAAACCAGGTACTCACTTGAGGCTGAGTCGACCTAGGGGAGGCCCAGGACCGGTTCAGATAACCGTCACCGGTGTTGGTGGCCGCGAGCAGGGAATCGAACTCGGGTCGCCGCCAGGTTCGTAGCGCTAACCACGACAATTACCGCTCTCCCCACCTATGGGGCCGTCCATATATGACGTCACGCGATTTTTGACGATTTTTGACCCCCCACCCCTCGTCACACGGCGTCACAAAAAGTCAGACCCCCCCTCAAATATGACGTCACAAAGCTCTGCCCCCCCTCCCCAAACCATATTTCCATTTTTAAAATAAAACATGCTTCAAATCGCTTTAAACTATTGTCATTGTAGTGCGTATTTGATGTGACGCTGCACTCTGATGTTGTAGGAGAAAACATTTATTACAAAGTCTATTTAATTAAGTAGAACGTGTTGTCTATGTTTATTTAAAGTTGCGCATTTTTATGTGACGTCACATTTCTCACCCCCCCCCCCCGTCACACATCGTCACAAATGTCTGACCCCCCCCCCTAGGTGCGTGACGTCATTTATGGACAGCCCCTATCCCCACACACCACCCCCACGCTCCCCACAGTCCCTCCCACCCCTAAGCCCCCCGAGCAAGAGCCGCGGACCCCGCCCGGCCGCACCTCTCGCCGGGACGCGCGAGTCAAACGCCCGGGTCGCCTAAGGGGCTGGCGCCTCCCCCCACCCCATCGCTAACGTGGTGGCAGCGGAGGGAAGTATTCGGAGCACAGCAAGGCCGGTGCGGAGTCGTGCCTGCGGTGCGGTGTCGTGCCCGCGGTGCGGTGTCGTGCAAGCGGTGCGGTGTCGTGCAAGCGGTGGTGTCGTGCATGCGGTGCGGTGCAGTGCATGCGGTGCGGTGTCGTGCAAGCGGTGCGGTGTCGTGCGCGCGGTGCGGTGTCGTGCAAGCGGTGCGGTGTCGTGCAAGCGGTGCGGTGTCGTGCGCGCGGTGTGCTGAACTTGGTCGGCGACGGTGAAGAGCAGGCGGTTCGGCAAAATGCAGCATTCAAGAGCAGCACAGCGGTGAAGTGTTTCCTGTGTTTGAACTTCTCTCGCAGCGCACGTAGCCAACCGTGCTCATCTGAGGTGCGGAGGGAAGGACAACTAAGCACTACAAGCAGTTCTAAAGAAATTAGCTGTCAATCGGGATCATTCTAAAGTGCATCATGGCTCCCAGTGGCTTCCTAATATCACAAGAGCGTTCCAGACGGCCACAGGGCAAGAAAGTGCGCGATGCAATGACCGTCAGTGGCTGGCAAGTGAACAGCAGCAGTGCACGAAAATGCAGCCGTGGTGGGCAGCATTCAAGAGCGGCAATGCAGCAGTGAAGTGCCATTCAGCAGTTCAAGTGCGGCAGTGCATTGACGTACATCGATGAAGTGTAGACCAAGTGCAGCAGTGCAGGAATCCAGACTCAGTCTGCCACCGCTCAGTGCAACTTGCACCTTTCACTGAACTCCTGCTGGTGTGGGTGTGCGACACACTGACAATGATCCGAGGAGGTGGATTGTTTTATTTGCATTGCGACTTGAATAAAATCTACGCTTTTAATCCCCCAATCGGAAGCTCGTGTGCAAGTGTTGGGTGGATTGATACATCGCAGGATCGACTCCGGGCAAGGCTGGCAGCATCGGATTTTTCATGGTTTTAATCAATAAAAAAAACGATCATCTCAGATCGCCAAAAATCCGGTTGTATTGCCTGTTAATCCCTCTAATTATAGCCCCCCCCCCACCAAAGAGAAGACAAACAACAACACATTCCGCTACAAGATGGTCAAGTGGTCGCAAGACACCGATGGAGTCTTGGCTGTCCGATGGCAGCGAGTGGCCAGAGCTGCAAACGGTCTCCGTCAAGCTGTTTCAGCATCGCCACGTCCAGCGCCGCATCCGAGAGGAACTTCTTCTCCACCACCGGCCTTCGTTCACTCTCCAAGCTGAGGAACAGCCCGAGCGTGCGGTCGGTGGAGAAGCTCGTCTTCAAACTTGATTTGGTGCTTTCGCGACTGCAGAAATTACTCGTTTTTTTTTCGGTAAAGTCACGTAGAAATAAGATATAATAATAAAATTACATAATGGCATACGACGTTTCGATTGCAACGCAATCATCATCAGGTATAGAAGAGCTAAATTTGAGAGGAAACGCAGAACCGCAGATATATACTTAGGTGTCTGTGTATATATCTGCGGTTCTGTTTCCTCTCAAATTTAGCTCCTCTATACCTGATGATTGCTTGCGTTGCAATCGAAACGTCGTATGCTATTATGTAATTTTATTATTTCTTATTTCTACGTGACTTTACCGAAAAACCAAAGAGTAAGCTCGTCTTCATCAAGAGCAACATTCCCACCTTCGACGGCACGGTTGAGATGATCGAAGAGGACAGCGAATCCAATGACTGGCGCCGATTGGCGACTTCACTTGATGGATTAAAACCATGTTTTCTTTTCGACAAAATCGTTTTTTTATATATATAAAACCAATAACCCGAAAACATTTGCAAAAAAAAATCTGTTTTTTTCCACTCTTGACTGGGAGGGCTTCATCCAGCAGTGGATGGATCCATAGCTGATGTGAAAAAAACGTGTTGTGGTTAATTACAGTACTCTTACTATGCTCACCGACAGTGACGAATTATTAAAAACACGTTCACGTGCCACATTTTTCACGCTGTTGCCAACCTGATTTTGCACGATTTTTCAATGTCAGTCTTCGCAAAGTGTAAAATGTAACGTGGCTTTTCGGCCGTTTCATCAAATGTAAAATGTGGCTCTTCACGTCTGTCAAAGATTACCCGCCACCTCCGATGAGCACGGTTGCCTACGGACGGTGCGAAAGTTCAACATAACAAAGGTATATTTAGAAACATGTGCTTCGAATATTTGGCTGTTATAAATGTCAACATAAGCCACTTTGTCAATCATTTGCAGCCAGGTCGCTTCTGAAAGAGCCATATAGCTTAATGGGCCTTGATTGATAAAAAAAACTTTTTTTTTTGCTTCAAACGCCCACGCAGGTGTACGTACCTACAGTATTACCACGTCATTTATGACCAGGCGATACCCCATTAAAATGTCTGTGTGTAGCATAGGAAGGACCTTAACCTTCATCAGATGGAGAAGTGGCAGGACTCGTAAAATCAACATGTACCGCGTTCTAGAATTTCCAGATGACAATGACGTTGGCTGTTACTCACGCATCCTCAAACATCCTAACTTCTCCACCTGCCTACACACGCGCTAGCTTGCACACACAGGAATGACGATAACTCACAATGGTCACGCGCATTACTGCAAGGCTTTCAGAGAAGTGTCAAACCGACCATGCCCGCATTGAAGCCAATGGCATAACTTGCTAGTAGCTCGAAAACCATTATTACGATACACAAGGTGACACCTAGTCTTTCGCGAGCAAAGGACACCTGTTAATCAGTCCACGTTCGTATAGCACCACCTGGCGGTGAAAAAACAAAGCAGAGAATAATACATTTAAATGGTTAAAGGAAACAATTTGAACATACAAATAAAAACCAATTTAATTTCGAGCGGCTGATTTAAATACACGTCGGTATTGTACTATATACGAGTCAACGAATCATTATCGGTATGAGTTAAACTGGAGTTTTCCAGTTAGAGAACAATTACTTAAGGTGGATCGGGACCAAACAGAAAAAAATAAGTGCATTATTTGTACTTCTGGAAAACTAAACTTGATCATGCAATGCAACATACCAATGTCTCTGCAAAATTAACATTAACCAACGACTTACTCACCATGACATGGATCAGAACCAAGAACGGACAGAAATTGAACAAAAGCCGAATTACTGAAAACAAATTAAGACGGGAACACATTAAGGAACAATAAATCATGTAGTATCCCATCTGGAAGGGGCTGGAGCAGGACCACATTGGTATAAGAGATGACGGCCAATGGACACGATTGGTGAAAAGGGCAGTGAAAGGAAAGCACCAAAGGATAACCACTGCTAAGAGGAGCAATGTGGAGTGAAATGTATGTAGGGATGGGAACAGCATGGAGTAGCCTTCACATCCAGGAGTCGCTGATTGTACCATGTAACATTAAAATGCTTCTTACAGTAAATTATATGCATAGTGTCCCTTTTGAAAACTTAAAGTGAACAATCGCTTCGACTTTCCATGGTAATGTGCATCTGCTGATATACATGCCCTGGAAGCAGCAAAATGGTTGCCCTATAATGTAAATTATAAACAAATTAATATATCTGCAAATTATAACAGTGAAGCTACAATGTGTCTACCCTTAGCATATATAAAACAAAGACAGGCAACACGAGCCCAGTCTACATTTGAAGAACGTTTAACAGATTTTCATAATAAATTAGCCATTGTCGACCAACACAATGATAACACCATAAGTATTTAAGTATTAATGAACTCAGAACAGCACTGCAATAATGAAAATCAATTGATTTTATTAAAATTAAAATGCTTGAACCCCACCCACATTTAATGACGTTAAAATTGTACAAGTTGACCAGGCAATTACATCTGGCAAGTACATTTATAGTTCTACTATTTCATTCTCCGCAAAGAATATCTTTCAGAAGAAAAAAAGTTTCAAACAAGTGTTCACAAACCAACTCCCACTTAAAATGAGGATGCAGGGAGCCTCTTCATCAGTGGTCGGCAATCCGATGCAGTGTGCAGCGAGAGAAACGTGAACACTCCTCATTGAGGCAACTGCACCTCTTCAAGCCAAAGTTCCAAACGTTCTCTTCCACGGACTTGTTCCCATAAGTGGCTTCAAGTCTACTCCATCATCTTCCAATGTACGAGGCGGATGACAGTCCAGTCTGCATCCACACCTTCCGTAAATTCACGGCGAAATCTGAACAATTGAAAATGGACGTGATGTTAAAATCCAAGCAGAATACAACAAATATTAAAATTCCCTTCCAGGTGTTCTTGTATTACACTTTAAAAAGTTGACCAATATTTGGAAACGGTCTGCTGGTGCCAGTAAAAGCAAAATTTAATGCCACAAATTAATCAGTTTACCAATTAACAAGCAATTATCAAAATAGTAGTATTTATATATACACACCCAAATAGGGAAAGCACCATGACAAATGTTTACATGTTTTGTTGAATAGGGTATAATGATCATTAAGGTATATTAAATGCAAGTGTGCGATTAGCCAGGTGAATATTTTTGAAGCGCAAGTCTGTATTAACCGTGGATAAAATGAAAAAATCATATTTGCTCTTTCCTATTTTTATAAGACCGCTCATAGCATAAGTGTCCAACTTTCTTCAAAATAAAGTTTACAAGTGTATTCTGAGATTGATTAACTAAATGTATGAAAACCACTGGGAGTGAGAACACACAAACTATACTGCATACATGAAACTGCAACGAAAATAATATAATATAATTGTTGTACATGAACACCCCTGTGTTACAATTCAATCTGGACAGGACACAGGCAAAGTGGCCACCTGCTTCCATGGAATATATCACATCAACGTGCGCGCTAAGATATTTTGCAGAAGGCACGTCTCATTGGCCATACTTCATGCAAGTCAGTGTGGGTTGCAGGTAGAAAGCACAGACGTCGGGGCATAGAATTACAGGACGAGACGTTGCTGCAACGCCCTCTGTTGACAAACTACATAGCCAACCCCCCACCCAGTCCTATTTGGCATGGTCACCCATCCGGACTCCACAATATTTAGCATCATAGATCTGATGAGATTGCACGCTGACAGATGAAGTCGTAGGTTTGTTGTACGCACTCGTAACTGGCCGTGGCAATTCTCTGCGTGTTGTCCTCATCTTCTGCGGAAAACGTGATAATCTTCATGCCAGCCAAATCATTGTTAGGCAAACTTGCACTTGTCAAATACCAGAATCTCATGAGGATGTTCACGTAGCGCCGACCTGAAAATAACAATGTGTCGCCGTTAAACACCTCTTACATTAACAATGTGCGAAATAACTGACAATGTACATAAATAAAAAACAAAATTATAGTGTATACACTTACAAGGGTGGCGAAGTGGTTAGCATACCACACTATGAACCTGGTGATACAAGTTCACTTCCAAGCCATAGTAAACATTTATGCCGAGTGATATCTGAACTAGTCCAGCCACCTTCACCAACCCGCACTGACCAGCATGGTGACGTATGGTCAAACACTCAAGTCTGAAACGGCAAGTAGAAGCCTTCATCCAGCAGTGGCTGTAAATATACAATTAAAGGCAGCTTTAAAAAAAAGTGCACGTGTCTAAATAAGCTTGAGCTGCAATGTTTACAAACAACTGAAGGTTGTCTCAGATGATTGATCACCAACGCATCCACAAAAACCAAATACGAATGCATTCACTCCATTTTCTTAGACCCGAATGAATTACATTTTTGATCTTGAGTGAAAAATAGCAATACAATTTATGCAAGTGCCACCTTGTGGCCAAGGAGAGAAAATGCATAAAAAGGAAAGTGCTGCAGTCGTTTGAAACGTCATTTTCGGGGTATTTTCACTCCAACATAAGTGCACGAATAAAGTACAGATCCAGCTCTTATGGTGCATTACCGCTATTATCGTAGTAGATGGCTACATCGTCAGTTGCGGAGTACATGACATCCTCCAACGGCACGGCAAGTTGCCTCCGCTGGCTCTCACCCATCAAGCTGCACTTGTGGCGCAACTCTTCCAGGGTCTGTTGGGTGAAGAGAGAGTTGTAACGTGTGCTCGTCGCCTTCGTGGTTCTACTCATGGCACCCATCTGCCAGTGCTTTAAAAACAGCTGGCTTGTTTGTGTACTTGTTGCGGAAATTAATGAAAAAGTACAGCCCTTGTGCAGCAGCATGATTAACCAAAGTTTCACCCCACACCATGTGGCTCATGTGGGTTACGTGACCACACTTCACACAAAAATCAGACTAGCGTGAAGGCAGGGCGCATAGACGTACGATTGATTTTGCCGCACTGCGCTTCGCCCCCCCCCCCCCCCCCCCAAGGATCCCCCCCCCCCCCCAAGGATCCCCCCCCCGCAGCTACCTATGATGAGCTGTTTTGTATCGTGATTACCCATCCAAACAAATTTCGAGGTTCAACCCTGCTTGGCTTCCAAGATTTTGGCAATATAGGGCACATTCTGGCCAATTTGGCAACATACAGCACATACTTAATACTACGCACATCCATTAAATACGTGTCCAAGGTCTCAGGAAAAGACATCCATGGAGTGCAGGTGCTGCTGTTCTTACATCTTCATCCATGAGTCCTTGAAGTTTGTCGAATTTGCTCTCGGCGACGAGTGAAGACACGCAAGAAAATGCCTGCGAAAAAAAGAAATTGACGTTAATGCGCTGCCATATCTTGAACAAACAAAAACCTTCAGCAGTTTAATTGATGTACGGGTCAGTCTCCTTTTGTTAATCCCCTGCTGGATGAAGGGATCTCCCCACACGGGTCGTGGGGGGTTCACCATACTTCACCACGCCGACCAGTGCGGTTCGAGGTTCCACAGCAAATATTACCTGTTGTTATGCATGGAGTTCGCCCAATCCAAATCACTATCCAAGACGCAATCCTGCTTAATCCATCCGAGACCTATTAGAGCACGAACAATCGTGGCAAAATTGGTCATGCGCGAACATGAATAAAATGTCATAAAACAAAGAGACAAAAATGTGACGGGCATTGAAACCGCAGGTTTAGCTTGCCAACAAAGATCAGTGCAAATGTAATTAGCGCTGCTGTATTGAGCGGAGTTTGCTCCTGGTTGCGTGCAAGCGCGAACTCTGGAATTCCTGGGCTGATTGTCTAGGTCAGCGGTCAGAACTCCCCACAAGTTCATGGTGATGACAAGCGTGGCTAATCACCGACCTACCAACCCGCCAGGGCTGCACCTGCATCAGAAAGCCCTTTCAGGGAGATTAAAAATAAGTTGTGCACCACTTATCTTTTCAAATGGGGCAACGAACAGTCAACTGATAACCGCGAATGACCTGCAGTGCCTCAACTGTTTAAAAAGAGGTTAAGCACAATACAGGAGAAAACGCGTAGGATTTCGCGACCAATATATGAATTCATTCATCCACCCCCCCCCACCCCTTTGGCACGTGAAGGGCTCACAAGTTACGCCATCGCATCTACCGCTCTATTTAAGGGCCGAAACAGGATTTCGCCGCAAATCTGGCCGTCCGCTTGATAATGCTAGTTGGAATTATTGGCGAAACGTCGTACTCAAGATTGTAAATGTTGTGTGGTTACTCTCCAACACACCAGGTGTTGCTGTACTAGTCACGAATTGGCACGTTCTGGTTAACGCGACAACCCTTACCAACTAATTGGCCGACGGGTGGCGGCGGGTTTGACGACGCATTTATATTTACGCGATACAACCCAAATATTACGGACAATACAATGTCCATCACACTGCATTTGCTCAGCGAGGGGGTGGTGGGTGGGATGGTTGCGACCTCCGTCGGCAGGCCGTAAGCCATCGTCATCAGCCATGGTCAATCCACTGCTGGACGGGAGGCCTCTCCCAAAGCCTCCACCGGCTCACAAGACCCTCGCGATTTAAGCAGCCAAAGCCGGGACCCGCACACGAGCAGATGTCACTGCACCAGCTCTACCGGCAGACGTCTCTGTCGGCCGTGCTTCCCCCATTCCTTGACCGCCCTGAGCCGGTGTTGACAATTGCACATTCCCGTGGCGGGAACCCGTACATCCAATGAGTACAAGGCCATTTCGACTTAAAAGTAGTACTTGGTTGTATAGACTCCAAGATAACATTGCCCGAGAGAGCCTTGGGTCCAACAGTCGGCTCGGCTCATGCGATCTGAATGTTTGACCTTGCTTGCTCGCCGGGCACAGAAGCGAAGCCACAATTGCAGAGACATTGTTGCAATAGAACAGTGAAGACCACCGTGCATCAGCGAACGTCCCTGCACGGTTACGTTCACAACAGCCCCTTGTTGTCAACCTACAGCCGAATGCGTGCCCCCCCCCCCCCCCCCCCCCCAAGGCGTTAGGCCGTCGTGTAAGGGTCATTTGACCATACTTCACACCGCTATGGTCATTGCAGGTCGGCGAACGCAGCGCGCACAATGCTGTACAACAATACAATAAGCGGGCTGTGAAGTCGTCCTCATCGCTACTCACAGCGCCATCAACTCAGCCGCGTTTAAACCCCACGGTGGTCGCCCATCAAAGCACGCGCTACCACAGGCTCAACAATCCGCTTAGCTTTCGATATTTGACCATATCGAGGTGTGTGTGTTGGGGGGGGGGCGGGTAGAGGTGGCAAGGTTACAGCAGCAACAGAAATGCGGAGGCGATCGATGCCTCGTGGCCGCGGTTGTTCGAACGCACTTGCTTTGCGCCGTCCGTGAACTCCTCTATGGTGAAGTCGGGGTCAAAGTAAGTCCTCACGAGGAAGAATAGGAACTTGTGCTTGAGCCACGCGCCGGGACTGGGGATGGCCATGAACATCATCCTCTTCTTCTTGTTATTGTTGTCGGCCTTCTTCGCCGGGCCCGTCGTCTCCTCGCCGTCGTCGTTGTCGTCGTTTTGATGCCCCGGGCTTCGACCGTAGAATCTCCCCGGCGCGGCCGCACCGCAGGGGCCGCAGAAGCCGTAGGCGGAACCACGGGCACCGCTAGTCCCGACGCACGGAGACCCTCGGCACGCGGTGCCAGGAGTCCTTGAGAGCGGCCGCGACCGCGAGGAGAGACCGAGGCTTCTGCTCAGGCCCAGGAGGGCCGAGCGAGAGGCGCCGATGCGACCCGCGGAGACGAACATCGGGGCCGCGTTTCTGAGCCGATGGCGGTGGATCTCGTGGTGGTGGTGGCGGCGGCAGCGGCGACGATAATGTTGTTGATGATGATGATGTTGTTGTTGCTGCTGCGTTGACAGCATAGGCACAGGGGCCTCGTCTCCGTCAACGCCGCTTTTATAGCGACCCCCACACCCAGCCCCCCCCACACTCCTGGCACCACGCCCCCGCCGTACTGTACGTACAGTGCGCGACCGTCTCTCCGCGCACGTGCGTTTGTCGTGCACTGTACGCGCGCGAGCACGTGGCGCGCGCGCGCGCACAGTGCATGCCTGAGTGCACCGTACGCGACTTCCGCTTCACGGACACGCCGCTAAGTCGAGTGTGCGGTGTGGGGCGTGCGGTGTGTAGGACAAGGAAGCGCTCGCACCGTAGTACGGTAATCGAACCGTGGTACAGTAATCGTACTGTTGCACAGTAATCGCACCGTGGTACAGTAATGGCACCATGGTACAGTAATCGTACTGTGGTACAGTAATCGCACCGTGGTACAGTAATGGCACCATGGTACAGTAATCGTACTGTGGTACAGTAATCGCGCCGTGGTACAGTAACGGCAATGTAGTACAGTAATATCACCGTGGTACAGTAACGGCAATGTAGTACAGTAATCGTACTGTGGTACAGTAATATCACCGTGGTACAGTAACGGCAATGTAAGTACAGTAATCGTACTGTGGTACAGTAATATCACCGTGGTACAGTAACGGCAATGTAGTACAGTAATCGTACTGTAGTACAGTAATATCACCGTGGTACAGTAATCGCACTATATTAAGGTGCGAGGGGACTCTCTCCAGCACGGCGCGCGTTTGCGCCTCCGCTCCACCGAATTAAGAACCCCCGCACACACTCACACACTCACACACACACTCTCACACACTCACTCTCTCACACACTCACACACACACTCTCACACACTCTCTCTCACACACTCACACACACTCTCACACACCCTCTCACACACACTCACACACACACTCACACACCCTCTCACACACACTCTCACACACTCTCACACACACTCTCACACACTCAATCTCACACACACACTCTCTCACACACACACTCTCTCTCACACACTCTCACACACCCTCACACACACACTCTCTCACACACTCACTCACTCTCACTCTCTCACACACACTCTCTCACACACAGACACTCTCACACACACTCACACACTCTCTCACACACTCACACACTCTCTCACACACTCACACACACACTCTCACACACTCACTCTCACACTCTCACACACTCTCTCACACACACTCTCACACACACACACTCACTCTCACACACACACTCTCTCACACACTCTCTCTCTCACACACTCTCACACACACTCTCACACACACACGTACTCACACACTCACACTCTAATACACACACACTCACACACACTCTCACACACGTACTCACACACACACACGTACTCACACACACACACTCTCTCACACACACACACTCTCACACACACACACTCTCACACACACACTCTCACACACACTCTCACACACACACTCTCACACACTCTCACACACACTCTCACTCACACACACTTTCACACACTCACACACACTTTCACACACTCACACACACTCTCACACACTCACACTCTCACACACACTCTCACACATACACACACTCTGACACACACTCACATACTCACACTCTCTCTCACACACACACTCACACACACACTCTCACACACACAGACTCACACGGGTTCGGGGTGCCGTGTTTATATTTGCAGTGCGGCGGGCTCATCGGGGTAACTGAGAGTGCGAGAGGAGAAGTTTGCGGGGTCGCGCTGCCCGTAAATAAGAAAGCGAGACAGACAGACAGGGAGCTGAAGGACGTGTCTCAGCGTCGTGACACGGGCGATGGCAGCGGGCGACAGGACGCAGGTGCGTCTGCACAACGGTGTCACCAAGGAGGTGTTCGTAAACGAGATCCGGCCCCTGGTGAGACGCCTATATGCACGCAGATTTCATTTATGACCTGCTTGGCCGGGAACGAGAGAGAGGGGGCTTCGGGCCAGAGAGTTCGCGTAACGTTTTTGCTCTTCATCCGTTGAAGGAGCGCCGCAGGCCACGAGGATGATTTACTCAGCGGCGCGTGGTTTCTACTGAATGGCTACAGTCGCGCCGTGCTGTGGGGCTCGTCTTCTGATTTTTTTCATTCGTGAAATGAGTACGCGCGCGCCCGCCGCTCGTTGATGTTGCGTGCACGTTGAACGTCTTTCGCACCGTACGTAGCCAACCGCGATAATCGGGAGGCGCTGACGATGTTCCGATGCTGTTGGTGGTTAACAGCAGGCGTCTAAGTGGGCCGGCCATAAATGACGTCACGCACCTGGGGGGGTGGGGGGGTGGGTCAGACATTTGTGACGATGTGTGACGAGCGGGGGGGAGGGGGGGGGGGTTGAGACATGTGACGTCACGTAAAAATGCGCAACTTTAAATAAATATAGACAACACGTTATACTTAATTAAATATACTTTTTAATGTTTTCTCCTACAACATCAGAGTGCACATGAAATACGCACTACAATGACAATAGTTTAAAGCGATTTGAAGCATGTTTTATATTTTTTTCGGGGGGGGGGGGGGAGGCAGAGCTTTGTGACGTCATATTTGAGTGGGGGGGGGGTCTGACTTTTTGTGACACCGTGTGACAAGGAGGGGGGGGGTCAACAATCGCGTGACGTCATTTATGGACGGCCCCTTAGACGATGAATGTCAAAGCCAGAAGAGGTGTGCGATGTTTGGGTCTCGGGTGAGGTGTTTGTTATTCTGAACGATTCCACAGTCCGCCGGCAGCGATCTTCTGGATACCGGGGTGAGATTCAAGGATGACGGTGACAGTGGGATCTCAGAAGAGAGATGGTGCATCCAGTGTACCTCGCGCTACGTCTGTGGCTACTGAATCACGTGCCTACAACAATGTACAAGCAACCTGTAAAACAATGAGAGATTCATGCCTGGGTAATATACCGTCCCCAGCCCACGTGGAACCTGTCCCAATGGGATATTCACAGTGTACATTCCATAGCTGTCAACCATATGGTTTACCCCATATTCTTGTACAGGGAAATTCAGTTTTCAGGTCCGTACGGCGTACAGCCGTTTCAATACGGGCAAAAAATATATATTTGTGTTTCTCGCCTGTGATAGGACTTTGTAGGATGAACGTTGAGATTTATAACAGGATCGGGTTGACCAATAAGATCTGAATTGGTCTGTAATAAGGTAGGCACTGATAAGGAGTTGACAGGTATGACATTCTGATTAAATTCCTACTACGGCCTATTTCTTCACCTCGGTGAGAAATCCAAACCACGCACCAGTTCACACATTTGGAAATTGATCCAATCATCTGAGCTCTCGCGGACCAAGGCCTACTACAATTTATGCGAAATAAGAATGTAAAGGCTGCTCCTACACAGAGATTTCTTCCAGAGAGTGGCAAAATACTTGGAAATCCCAAGGGTATCACGTGACGAGATACACTCACCAAAATAAATATGTATAGCGACATTACAAAATACAGTTTCCAAAAAAATGAACGGGAGAAATAAAGGCACACACCAATGGAGAATATATTAACTATCATATTGGCTGATGATAGTCATGACAACCAGTGACATTGAACTACGTGAAATTATTGAATTTAATTTAAGGAGGCTGATAAATGGGTCACACAATCCACCTTTGTGATAGACTCTGAAGCCCTGGTGAGACCTCAATACAGTATCCTGTGAGACAGCTCCCAACTTCCATGTGAGATGCCTACCTCTTGTGGACTGTCTCCTTCATTGAGACCTCCAACACCCCTGTGATACATTACAACTACTGCATTTATAGTGCACCCATAACGTAACGAACGTCTCAAGAGTGCAGCGTTTTAGCCTAGGGACAGCCGGGTGGCAGCTTGTCCTGCGTGGCCCATATAAGATGAACACAGCACCTGTTTGTGCGAGTGGGCATTAGTCTGCCATTAGGGGGGCGATGTTGATGTTCACAGTACAGGGGACTCCTCTACTTGACGAAGGAGTTAGGTTCCAGAGTTCTGTTCGCAAGTCGATCTGTTCGTAACTGTACTCCTGTTCATTCCAGACATGTGTAGTGGCCTTATTGACATCGGAGACTGTTCATTGGAGGCAACACGTATTTATTACAGACGCTTCAATTACAGTGTTCGAATCTGATACTTGAAGAGGTAACGGCCTCTTCACCCGTACTCTACAGAGGGAACGTTCCCCGAGCTTTAGCCCAGGCTTGCTCCCTGGTTCCCTCTATCCTGGTCCTCTCTCAGGAGGCTCTCTGAACTGGCCCAGCTTCAGCGCAGGTCCCGATCACCAGCCCCACGAGTCCGGCCCTCAGAAGGACATCGGGCCTCGTGGCTCTGATGTCGCACCCTGGCTTGCTTTGCCCGGCCCTCAGAAGGACAGCGGGCCAAAGGAGTTCCAGGGTCTGGCTAGTCGATCTTCTTTCTTCACTGGCTCTTCATCTTGCTTGAGTCGAATTCCCTCTCAGCTCTCTAGGTCCCACCTTTTATACAGTCCCTCACTGAGGGGCGGGGCTGGGAGGGATCACAGCGTCCCCCACAGCCCCCCAGGGTGGTGGCCGTAGCGGACGTGGTTGTGGCCACCGCCCTACAACCGCGTGTCACCCTGCGGTAACACCTCTACACATGTATGGCATGTACACTAAACACGGGGAATCGCTTTAAACGATGTATAAAGTGGTTAAAACACAATGCATATATTATCATAGTATGTTTTTTGTTTGCATTTTGACTGCAGGTATTGTGGTTAATGCAGACATGAATCCTTGTAAAAAGGTTTCAGTTTTGTTGCCAGAAAAAAACCCTATTATTACATTTTGGTACTGGCAAAGGAGGTTTAATGATGTATAAAGTCCTGTAGATGTAGATGCCACCTTTTCTTCCTGTTCTGCAGATGTAGATGCCACCACCGCCATCTATTTGCGCGGCGGTTGAACTTAGGCCTCTCGGTCCAAACAGGCAACTGGACATATGGAACGGTTTGTTCGTATCTCTGAAAGTTCGTAAGTCGAATGTTCGTAAGTAGAGGATTTCCTGTATTCCCCAACGTCCACTGTGATGCAGGCATACTGCACATATTTGATGGTGTTAACGTGTTGGTCCCAGAGCAGTTGCTGGGTGTGTGCATTCTTATTAAGTGGTTCTTAATACTTTTTTTGGGCTACTTAAACACGGTAGGACCAACACCTCGGCCGTGGCAGATCACTGTTAGAATTCAGTAGGCTCACATGACATTGACTTCTCCAAGACAGAGGTTCTTTGCAAGCCATCTGGCTACCATGAGAGATTCGTTCATGAGGCTATCCACATATACAAACACAGAGACAATTTCAACCGAGAAGATGGATTCTGGCTTAGCAATCATTGTAAGGATTTGATAAACCATTTCGGGTCTTAATTGATTGTTCACACGGTGGCTTTCAGACCGCATCCATTATTTTCGTCTCCCCCCTCCTCTTTTCCGAGCATAGATGGGCTCGTCCATCTGAATAACTGCCAAATCGCTCTCCGTGGTGCTAACGTAAAAAAAAAACCGCCACTTTTTTCAAATTTTCTTGCTGTGGTTTTCACACCTGATGATGACTGCTTGTGTTGCAGTGGAAACGTCGTGATAATTTTTATTGTTTTATATATATTTTATTATTTTATTGTTTCCCTTCAACGTGACTTTACCGAAAGAGCTAAGAATAGATATATATAATACTGCTGTACACCTTGTTGAATTTAAGTTTCAACCGAGTACCCCCTTGTCTGACCCATCATGGTTGCTGGGAAATAAATGTGAATAATGAACATCAGTGTTTTAACCAATTTGTCCATTTTGTGAGGTATCCTAACTAGCCTCTGACTGCAAACAAATAAAAACAAATTCAACGAACGATCTGCATGCATGACGTAATTTGTTCAAGTTCGCCGGTTACTCTTAGAAACCACATTGTTTATCATCAATGAGTTTAGAAAGGTATTACATATCGTTCTATGTTACCACATGGATTAAAATGTTATCGTAGTTATTTTATATTGGCAGATGCATACATGATTATTCACCAATGACTCTCATGTATGACATAATTTCACACATTTATAAATCACCTCGCGTATCCCCCAGGGGTCTGCGTACCCTCGGTTGAAAACCACTTGCTCAAGACCAGTGGTTCTTCACCTGGGGTAGCACGCACCCCCTGGGGGTGCGAGACATGGCACATTTTTTAAAAGAAGGTAAATCAGATTCTTAGCTCTTTCGGTAAAGTCACGTTGAAGGGAAACAATAGAATAATAAAATATATATAAAACAATAAAAATTATCACGACGTTTCGACCATAACACAAACGGTCGTCATCAGGTGTGAAAAACCAATGGCAAGAAACATTTGAAAGAAGTGGCTTTTCACACCTGATGATGACCGTTTGTGTTATGGTCGAAACGTAGTGAGAATTTTTATTGTTTTATATATATTTTATTATTTTATTGTTTCCCTTGAACGTGACTTTACCGAAAGAGCTAAGAATATGAATTACTGCAGTCACGAAAGCTTTAAATCAAAATTTAAGAAGGTAAATCATCGAAACAACTTGAGCACGGGCATGTAAGTGCAACTACCGTGTTTCATCAAACCTGTGTATTTATTTAACATACATTTTTAACGGTTGAAAACCAAAGGAGTGCAAGGCTGCAGTGAAGGTTAAGAACCACTGCTGTAGACGGTGCTTGCTGGGCCCTGTTGGTGCTTGCTGGGCCCTGTTGGTGCTTTAACAGCGACGGCCGGCAGTGCTGCGAGGCGTGGATTTGGGGCCGTGCCTGTCTCGCTGGGACGCCGAGTACTTGCGGGCAGCCGGGGGCACACGGCCCGTCCGGGTCCACGCCTCCCCCTCACCTCGCATGGACTTCATCCACAAGAACTTTGCCTACAAGTGAGCATGCTCTTGCGTGAAAACGGGGTGTCCGTCACAAATAGTAATAAGAAGTAAAAAGGCGTTCAACTAATTCAAATGTATTTCATTTGAAGCACTTGTTCAGTTTTCGAATGAATTGCACCGAGTTTGAGTTACGCACACTCTGAATGACGCTGCAAATCCGTTTTGCTGTTTGAAAAGGTAATTTGTGTTGACCCTGGGTTCGACCCAGCACTTAAGCGTTGCCCGCATCCATAAACACCCCCAAGTCTATGGTTGTGGCTTGACATAGTCATGGTGAGGAGCATGCTACCTATAGAACCGTTGACTTTCCATTTGAAAAGCAACTCACCATGTTGAGTTTGGTAATCGATTTGATGGCATCAGCAGTTACTTCGTGAATGCGTGCATACGTCCTGTGTAACTAAGGGACCGTGGATGGTTATGTGATGAACTTTGGTTATTGTGAGCGTGGATGTGTTATGGTATTTAACAAAAAACAATGTTACATTATATTGATGAATATTCGGTATACAAGATAGCAATGCTCATTTCCTTGTTAGAATATTTACATGATCTTAATGCAACTACCTCTTTTAGTTTTAAGGCTGCCATTGTAGCTTCAAGTTATGTCCGACACAGATACAAATGTAAAAACATAAATCGCGACAAGCTATTTTCTCCTCTGTTCCTTGATTTATATACAGAGCCCAACACTAAGGTGCGTCAAATTACACATGCTGGACTGTTACAACCCAGCCGTGAAAATACAGCAAATCGTTGCCCATTGAATGGGTTAAGTACTTTTTTTTTATTAGCCACAATGGGCAAATCCGTAATCCGCAAACTCAAAGGCAAATGGGAAAACTGTGGTTTGGTTCATGGTTTGTAATACGACAACCCTGTTGTTTTATGTTACCCTACATCAACCTTAACGTTAAACAGGAAGTTTATTGTATGTAAACTACAATTGATATTTCCTCATATAGAATAATACAAATGTTGTGGCTGAACCTCACTACCTCACTGGAGTCTGGGAACACGTGACCTGTGACACGCAATTGGCTGCTTGGGAGACAAGACGGCACCGCGTGGGTTCTTCTGCGGCAGCGTCATCATCGCCGCGAGCGGTACAGTTAACGATGTTGTACAGGAATCTCGCGATCAATGGTCGAGGGCACGATCAGCGAGCTGTTCCTCAAAAAACTGGCGCAAAACCGCAATAGCTAAACCCGCGAGAGGGAAGGGGTTTGCTGTACTCGCAATTTTAGTACAGAAGCCGTGCTTATATCCGAGTGTGCCTGTATAAGAAGTTTCCCTTCCCCCCCCCCCCACCATTGTGCTCAGCATGTGTTGCTATAAAGTGTGATTATATCCAGCTTTGCATTTTGAGAAGTCAGGAGCACCTGTTGGTGAATGTGTGCAAAGCAGCTTGACTCTTATCCACCAGATTCGGGCTGGAGTTGTGTTGCCGAATTTAAGTGAAGCACAATTGCTGTTGTTTAGAACCCTCCCGTTCGATGAGTTCATTCAACGCACGGCTGAAGAAAAGCACTCTAAATTCTTCTTTTGTGAGGTAAAGTAGTGTTTGCATTCACACTGGGTCTTCATCCGCGTTCTCTGTTGGCGTTCTCTCCACGCTGACCTCAATATGGAGGGTTACGTGAGCTTAAGGAAGCTTAAAAACGTGAGATATGTGCACACTGCTCAATGCACATGTGGCAAGACATTTTCTACGCTTTATAAGTTGGTTAAATGCAGTGGTTAGTAGATACTTTCAAATTATTCATATAGCATTACACTTAACACGTGTTACCAGGAGGTACTCATTTGTATGTGTATTAAAATGAGTGAGTGATTTGCATGACTGAAAAATGACAAACACGGGCTCTGTTTCAGAATGAAAAATACTACCTGCGAGCTTTGGGCAACGACCCCAGAAAGGTAACCAACGTTGCCATCAGTGGCGTAATTGTTGCAACATTAATGTACCGTACAGCACTTTTAAAATACCATTAATAGTTTTGTGATGCATTTCATGTTTTATATCGCTTGACACATTTATCTAAAACTATTGGAGCGTATGCCCTGAAAATTGGAATCTTTGTTAAACTTAGTTTGCAGCGTACACGTGAAGAAAAAGGCAGACCCATCCCTCTTCCCAAACAGGATGTTGCTGACATAAGAAAGCAGTTTCCCGAGTTGGCCAAGGATGTCATCCTCCCTGAATTTTATGAAGAAGAGCAGTTCTTCTCAAGTGTCTTCCGCATCAGCTCCCCGGGCATTCAGCTTTGGACACACTATGATGTATCACGCTCGGCGCATTCACACTCTTTTTGCATGCTTACTTTATTTTAAGATATCATCGTTTCATACAATCAATCCCCTGCAGGCTGAATGCCTTCCCCCAATTGCCATCTCTGACTGTTCTGCGCTGTGACAATCCACCTAGCACCGGCCCACAAGCTCCATTGCCTTGTTGGATATTTTCTCGGATGTTCCATTTCTTTGGACATTTCTGTTAATTAATTATTTGGGAGACTAAACCCCTACCTATAAATGCAAAACATAAATTACGGTCCATTTTCTATTTAGAAAAATGTATTGCCACAAGTTAAAACAGCAGCCCTACTAATTTTCATGTGTATGTATATACAGTAAAACCTTGGATTGCGAGTAACTTGGTCTGCGAGTGTTTTGCAAGACGAGCAAACATTTTAAATAAATATTAATTTGATAAACGAGTGAGGTCTTGCAATACGAGTAGTACGTATACGCTTTGTCTGCCGAGCATCACGTGATCACAACTGATATACGAGTGCTTTGGATAACAAACACGTTTCTGGAACGAATTATGCTCGCAATCCAAGTTTTTACTGTATGTTGAACTTCTTTCACCCCGTACGTAGCCAACCGTGCCAGTCGGAGGTCTTGGGTAGTGTGGCTGTGCACTTTTGGGTCCACTTGTTTTTGTTTTCCATTGCAGCGACAGACTCAAAACACGTGATTTTGGGGTATTTGCAAAATATTGTGATTTAACAAGTTGTGTTTTTAATTTTGATTTAAAGCTTTCGTGACTGCAGGGATTCATATTCTTGGCTCTTTCGGTAAAGTCACGTAGAAGAGAAACAATAAAATAAAAAAATATAAAACAATAAAATTCTCACGACGTTTCGACTGCAACACAAGCAATCATCATCAGGTGTGAAAACCACAGCAAGAAAATTTTAAGAAAAAAAACGCCACTTTTTTCAAATTTTCCTGCTGTGGTTTTTCACACCTGATGATGATTGCTTGTGTTGCAGTCGAAACCTTCTACGTGACTTTACCAAAAGAACCAAGAATAAGTTGTGTTTTCCCTTCTATTTAACATTAGTGAAACCGCACACTTTGTTGTGTCCTATCTAGAATTGTATTTATACTTTGTACAGGTATTGCAGTTGAGGTTATAGAACAATGCACTTTGATTACTTTCATTACCTATGCCACAACTTTGATCTACATAATAACTTCGAATAGGAAAGGTATGCTGTTTTGCATTATTAATAGCTTAGTTAAATAGTGATACTTTTATGAATCATGGTCAAAGTCCAATGCTTTCTTAATTACCAATCACATGTAACCTTTATGTAAGTACAAATATGTTATATTACCGTGTGTCAACTGAATAAGTAAAACTTCGTGAATGTTTTTTAGTCTTTAGATGAAATGGTGAGTGGTGGCACAACGGTTAGAGCACTGTGCTCTGAGCCCGGTGACCTGAGTTCAAATTCTTGTCATTGGTAACATCAGTGGCAAGTGAAATCAGCTGTATGCCAGCTCCCCTCCTCTTACTTGTCACCAGCCTACACTGACCAGTGTGGTGAAGTATTAAAATATGGTCAAATAACCCCCATCATCAACACAGCATAGGGAAAGCCTTTGATCCAGCAGTATATTGACAACGACTAAAATCAAAAGTACATAAAGCACAGTATACATTAAGATAATCGGATATGAAATGTTACGGTTATAACAAAATGCGTCGTGTGCTGTTGCTAACTCTACTCTTGCTGTGCTCGTTCGTACAGGTTATGGATAACATGCTCATTCAGGTCGTGGGCAGGAAGAGAGTGGTGTTGTTCAGCCCCAGTGACGTGCCTTTCCTCTACCTCAATGGTACCAAAGAGTCAAGCTGGAATATAATTTTTTTTACATGAACTATTGCTCTGCCGATTAATTGGTTCACGTGCTCGACTAATCGGATAACATAAATATTATCCATAATATAGTTTTTTTTTGGGTTATGTCGCATAAATATTAATGTGTCGATAAACCCGCCACCACCTTGCAGCCAATTAGTAAGGTTTGTCACGTAAACAGAACATGCCAATTCGTTACTAGTACAGCACCCCGGTGTGTTGGAGAGCCAAGCCACAACATTTACAATCTGAGTACGACGTTTCGCCATTACAACTAGCTTCATCAGGCGACAGCCAGATTAGTGAAGAAATCCTCCTGTTTCGTTCCTTAAATAGAGGGATAGATGTGATTGTGTCACTTGTAAGCCTTTGTTGAACTAGTAATGAATTGGCATGTTCTGTTTACAATGCAAACCTTACTAATTGTCTGTGTCGGGTGGTGGCGGGCTTAACGACACATCTATATATATTTACGCGATCTAACTAAAAAAAACTATATTATGGATGATATTCGTCGCGAAAGCCTACATGTTAAACTGACATAGACCTTGAATGTGACAGTCACATTCAGGGGCCCGAAATCAATAATATTCGAGTCTCACTGCAAAAGCAGAAATTAAACGGATTCGCTTATCGTTGACATGCAATTGGTTAATAAGTTGTTGAATTCATAATTTAGTGAGCACTAGTTAAGATATCAATTATCTCTGCGAAACTAAATGAGGTTTGCTTCCAATGATGAGGATTATCTCCATATATATAAAAGGCAAAGTTGTGAATATGTGTGTCTGTTCAAAATGTTTAGCATACTTCCCGACATGCAACAAATTTGCCATGCGGGTTCTTTCCAGACTAGAGGTTAGCGCGCTGCACTACGAACCCGGCGACCCGAGTTCGATTCCCGCTCATGGCCACCACTGGTGACGATTATTTCAACCGCTCCTGGGCCTCCCCTAGGTCGACTCAGCCTCAAATGAGTAACTGCTGTGGTGTGAACATCGCCACTGGGGAGACAAAGGCGGCCGCGCGTGGTGGATCCAAGCCCCGGGCGAAGCCGGGTAGTACAGCTAGTATTTTTCATATCATTGGATAGCAATGTAATACAATATCAAGAAGAGCCATCAAGATGAAATGCATGGAAAAATGTCTAAAAATACCTTCTCATATGTTTCACTGCCATCGCCACTATATTATTGCTTAACATAGGTAAACATACCAATCCACCAATGGATAAAGGCTTCCCCCACACCATGTCTACCATGAGCCGAGGGCAGGAATGGCTGAACACTTTCCACTGGCGTGACCGGTGCTTGGAACCAAACTCAGGTTCTCGTGTTCATAAACGCAGTGCGTCAACCACTATACTACTGCTCCACACCTAATTATAAAGTTATATATCATTAGTATCTAAAGATGAGCCTTCATAATGTGCTTTACATAAAGTCAGTGTGACATGACTAATTCTGTGAAAACCACAGCAAGAAAATTTGAAATGTAATTGCTGTGGTTTTCACACCTGATGATGATTGCTTGTGTTGCAATCGAAACGTCGTGAGAATTTTATTGTTTTATATTTGTATTATTTTTTTTCCCTTCTATGTGACTTTACCGAAAGAAACAAGAATATGAATCCCTGCAGTCACGAAAGCTTTACATCAAAATGACTAATTCTCTTAAATGTGTGACTATCTTTGCTGTGTAGTCTTATTATGCATTTAATTGTATATAATTGTTAATTATTCTGCATCTCGCTGTGTCATTTAAAGGTGGTAGTGGTGACAAAAGAAATGTAGCAGTGATGAATATTTAAAAATCCCAGCCCAAGTGCCAATGAGCATTCACTGCACAATAATTTCTGTTAAGTGGCCAGTACGACGCAAGACGGCACTGCGTTTAGAGGCAAAAGCATTTCATGCACTAATACAGAACTTGCATTATTTAACAACTCGCTAAACTGTATGAGATGTTTAATAATGCACTGGGGAGCTGCGTCTGTTGCATTCATAACTACTTTGTGAAACTGGTCTTTTGTGTATTGTCATGCCTTATAAGGTGTCCTCCTTGCATTATAAATATCGGCTACCATGAATCATAATAACTTGCAGGAATGTGTACAGTTGTAGGAGGGAATTGTGTAATCTGATATCTATAGTTATTTAAAAGGTGGTGATTTAACATTCGGTTGCTAATTTTTTTTTGCATGAATATTTTCCAAATCACAACTGCGTCGTAATCTGCAGGGTTTATTTATTTTAAAGTGAGACAACTAATATATCGTCTTCTGTGTCAACGTTACTGAAAACATGCTGTACAGTGAACGCTGTCAGAATCAAGGAAATATATTAGAAGCCTTAAGGGGGTAGCAGATTGCATTTTTGAATGTTAAAATCCACATTTAGAAACTAAATTGACTATGTGCTGAGGTTGCACATTTATCACATGAGCAACGTTACAATATGTGATAAAGTTACTTAAAACTATATATAATTAATATTCAATCGTTAAATACTTCAAACTATCTGGCAACATAGGTCACATATGATTATGAATTAAGCATTATATTACTAGATAAATTAGATCCTCGAACTAATTATTTAATGAGCACTTTGCCCAGTCTATGACAACTCATTGTCTAATTTCATAAGGTCTCCTTTTTTCCCCATTGCATTTTAAATGTAATAAACACCTCATTCGAGCCCCAAACATCGCACCTTCTGGCCTTGACATTCTTCAAAGACACTGGTGGAACCATCAACCGCATTAGAGCATAAACAGGTCGATGCACACACATCTTCATGAATGGAAAATTAAAGACAAGCCACAGATTGACTGGCCATGCAACCCAAACTATGGATTTTAAAATAAACTGCCGTAGTCTGTGTTCCTTCAACGGAGGAACGGCAACAATCAACAACCTCCCTCCTGGCATTTAGCTCCTGGACATATCGCCGTACGTAAGAATATGATAGAATACAATGGTATTGCAATGGTCATGTGTTTGGGCTGTACGTGAGCAGGCGACAAATCAGAAGTCTTGGATATCGACAGCCCGGACTTGAAAACATTTCCTGAGTTCAGCAAGGCCACCTGGCACGAGTGCGTGCTGGAGGCAGGAGATGTCCTTTTCATTCCAGGTATTCGGCGGGCCGACATGCTGAACCGTGATCTGTGTCCGTATAGCATGTATATCCATTCCCCTTGTCTGAAGAAAAAAAAAACACGTATAGTTTTTAGTCCCTCTGAAAGCAGTTCATGTAAATTTGAACCGGATACATTTTTAATTATTAACACAAATACTGCATGCGCCTTTACAAATAAAACCCATTTTGTTTTTGCCTTTAATGAGCCAGAAAATTCTCCATCGTGACATTCAGCCAATCACTGCTTGTGGTTTCACACTTTGAAAATCGTGCTGCGTCCCATCTCTGGTGTGACTTTTTGACCTTTCCTCCACATGGGAAAGTAATTAAATGTTTAAACCGAGCTATATGGCATTCATGATTTATTTTAGGGGTTGTAACTAGTTATTGTGAATGTTGGTGTGATTTGGTTTGTATGGGATTTATTTCACAGAAAGTGTATTTTGTGACATTGCGTCCGTCGCCTTTAATGCCATGTTAATGCCTGTAACTTTTTCCAAATTTCCACAGTACTTGTTTTTTTTGTCATTTTTCGCATGAAGAAAACTCGGCTATTAACGTGCCTGATCCGAGTAATGAATAAAAAATAGTTCCATAAATGTTCACTTATTGGGTAGATCACCACGGCTGTCGTTCATTATTACAAGGGTGTTTGTAGTATTTTAATAATGCCGAATTGATTACTGTCGACGCTGCTAGCGGCTAGTTTTCTATTACGTTATGAAGCGAGCTAGCATGGCTCATTTACTGAATTTTAACTCGGTTACAACTGACTGGACGATTTCAGCACCGGGGTAATTGGAGGTTAACAGCCTATAGCAGTCAGATTGCAAGTGACATGCGTTGCTGTTTTCTGACTAATGTATTAATTAAAACCGAAAGATAAAGTCGACCAATATTGCCCCATATAAAATGCATGCTCTGAACGCATTAGTTGAGCCAAGTGCCATTATATGTAGAGAAGTGATGAGGCACTACTTATTTTCACCTCAATGGATGGTATACCGTCTAGAAGGGTGCATTGTGTGGATACTCAAGTTGAATAGCAAGCTCAGTCCTTAAACGTAAGTGAACCCTGGCTAATGTACGAGCTTTAAGTGCAGTTAGTATAGGGATTGGTACATTTAAAAGCCATTTACTAAAGAGTAATTGGATGTTACGTTTTTTTTTGTTAAACCACACTGACAATATATGGTTAATAAAAGAGGAGAAACTCACTTTGTTATCATCTTGCAGAAGGACAAAGCAAATAGCTTAGGTTAATTGAAACAATACCGCCGATCATGAGCCATGGCCGTCGCATAATATAGTCACGTGTCAAAGTGTCTCCCTACTAAAATGAGCATGTGCAGTCCCCATTTCCGTAGGTGGCCTGGAGGCAGTGAGGAAAATTCCACATTCCTATGGTCAAGGCCATTCTCTACTGGAATACCACTTATTAGCACCCTTAAGTATAACCAACAAGCAGTAACTGGTACAGGCATCTTGCCACCATGGAGCCACGGTGGTGAGATGTTAACTACCTTGCCTGGTATGCAGGACGTTGTGGGTTTGATCGCCTGCATATTTGGGAGTTTTCACGATTTCCCCGTGGTTGCGTGGATTTTTATCCAGGTCCTCTGGTTTTTCCCGCCCCATTTAAAATCAACACGCGTTTAGAGTATTCGGCTGCTGTAAATTTACATGTGATAAGCCAATTCATTGATCTATCATTTGTGGTCAGGTCCCATCTGTAAAATACCTATATTGCTCTGGGCCTTACCTGGTAAAGTTAAAACAGTTTAGTTTAATCGTTTTAGATTATAAATTGTACCCTGGATATCCTTCAGAAAAGTTGCATGCACTCTTTAGGCACAACGTGTGCTGTCCCGTTGACGTGCAGCTTGAGTCTCCGCGTGAACGCCACTCACGTGGGTCTTTGTCGCTGGCAGCACTGTGGTTTCACAACGTGACGTCCTTGGAGTTTGGCGTGGCCGTCAACGTCTTCTGGCGGCATCTTCCGCTTGACGCTTACGACCGCACGGACACCTACGGCAACAAGGACCCAGTGGCGGCCGCACGAGCCATGCAGGTCCTGGAACGCGCGCTGAAGTCGCTGGCAGAGTTGCCTCCGGACTATCAACGCTTCTACGGGCAGCGCATGATCCTGACGGTGCAAAGGAAGGTGCTCGGAAGAAATTGCTCTGAACCAGCTGGAAAATGATGGCTGTATTTAAGCAACTTAAAAAAAAGCATCTAATTGTAACATGACTTAAATTGTTTGAAGTGCCTCCATCCTAAAATGAGTATTAGGGCTGTGCTTGTATTCGTTAGTGGCTCCAAGCCAGTGGCGAAAAATTTCACTTTCTCTTGGCAGGGGACAGCCTCCACAGACTGACCAATGTCCCACAAAGTAATACTCGTTTCATTGACCCCTGAAGGATATCGGGTTAAGATGACCCCCTGACCATTTTTTTTTTACTTTCAGCCCATTTGTCAATCCACTACTGGGTGACAGCCTCCCCCAGTGCCAGGTCAGTCATTGGGGGTTGTTTGACTAAAATGTCACCATGCTGGTCAGCTAATTGCCTAAATGTTGTATCTAAATGTACCATAACATAATACACATTTTTTTACATAATACAAATGGAGTACAAAATAGTCGGCAGTGCAATAACTAACCTACTTCAGTCGTTAACTTACGATCGTACATTTTATAGCGTTGGCGACACTTTTAAGTTTGATATTAAAGTTTTCGGAGGACAGCTGCGACGCATATGAATATGTACAGTGAAAGCATAATTAAATAGTAATTGTTTTGTCAAAAAAGATCATCTTAAGGATTCATTTCAATAGCGTACAGGCATATGGTGATACATAAGAAAACGCATGCTTCCTAATGGCTGTGGTGCACCATGTTAATGAGTCCATCTGCTGTGCCAGAGTGAACATCACGGTCAGAATTGCACACAGCTGACCACCTAGGCAACAGCCCTCATCTGTATTCAGATACGTTTTGATTTTATTTACCGATGTTTTTGTATTATTCAATGTGGCAATTATTTACATAAATCTAAATTTGCCTGAGTTTCTGCAGGAGGTTTAAGACTATTTGGTTTGTTTTTGTTTATTTTGGCCTGAAGGCTGAAACTTGCGAATGTTATTAATCATTATGCCTGGTTTATACAATTAGTTTTTATTGATTATTGGTGTGGAAAGATATATTTTGATAAACATGCTCAATGGTGACCTCTGCAGTTGGTGATTGGGATTGATTGACCTTTGCTGTTTTATGTACCATTAAGCATCATAGTAATGAACTGATGTGAAAAACCACATCAAGCAATGACGTATCTTCCTTAATAGTTGAGTGAAATGTTACTATCCAGTTGCATTGCAAAGTATTGTTCTGGTGTATAAAATACTTGAGCATGCGTGATATTCAATAAATGACTAAACAACGTTGTCACGTCAATGTACTTGTTGGCAAAGCAGAGTCGTAATTATTTTTATTTATTTAATAAGGGATAGCTCTTTCACGCGATTGAGCTCTTTTAAATCTCGGTCATTGTCTGGCCCATCTCTGTGGCGCGGATTGCTTCGAACACTTCACGTCAACGAGCGCGCCTCCTGGAGGAGCACTTCTGAAGCTGCGCTCTTGAAATCGCATTCCCGCAATTTGCCACTGCAACATGATACCTCACATGCCGACAACGAGGCCTACCACTTGGCATGTGAGTTACTTTGTTCGCGTTTCAGTCAAACCGGTCTCAAGGTGAGGAACGCATAACTGCAACACCGAATTTTATTTTATCTCCTCGTTCCTTTGTGCACAGTATACCACCCTCTTACTAAATATACAGTGGCCTTATTTCCTATAGGGGATTAATATGATTAACTAACTTAATAAATGTACAATACATTACTGGGATTTGACGGGACTACGAGGTTGTTATTTTTTTCTGCGTGAGATTGTGTTAGTAAAATGTGTGTTACATTCCCTCCTCCACCCGACAGCTAATTAATGACGTTACGTGAACAAACATGGCAAAGTTTGACCGCTTCCACACACCCCGTGTGTTGGGAGACCAAATCCACAACATTTAACAATTTGGGTTTACTAGGTAGCATGAAGCGTGTGCAAATATATGCGCAGTGAGGTGTACTTGCAAATCATGATTTGAAAAAAAAAACAAGTCTAAAACTTATTCAAATTCGTCTCCAGCCACGAGCAATCCACAGTTCATAGCTTTCCGCAACTATTGGTGTTTACTGTGGCTGGAGACGGTAACTTTCGTTTTAACAGCAGGGGGCATCCATACTCTGCAACAGATCATGCAGACCTTTTTTTTTACGTTTAGATTTTTTGAGATAATGGTAACTGGTACTCATTAACTTGCCGTAATCATATTGCGATCATGAATTTGTGTAATAAGGACGGGGAGAAGGGAGACTGAAGTGTAATACTTTCATAATTGCAGTGAGCTGTGGAACTAAAAAAAGTCAGACTAGTTTATACCACTGAAATTGCGTGGCCTGCAAGTTGTTTGGCAGGTAAACGTGGTTAAACATTTTTGTCTTGTTAGAATTTAGATTAGAAATTATTATAGTATGGTAAAAAAAAAAATTAAGTGGAAAACAGCACAGAATACGTATGTAAATCACACGTTATAGCAGTGTAAAGCGTTGCGCATTTATATGTAACATGTTCAAACCTACATTAATCTGCGGATTTGAAAGAATGAGTGCTTGCTTTCAAAGGACACGTGCTGCAAAGGTAACCTTTGAATTACGTTACAATAGCACAGCTGCACTAAAACGATATTATCTAAAAGTAGCTTTGAAAACAATGGAAAATAGTACATTTCATAACTCGGTTAGTGTTGTGGTAATAAAACAGTTTATGGTAAAACAAACGAGAGACTAAATGTGGGTAAATCCATGAGTCTTTTAGTGGGCTGCATTTAAGTTGTACTGCACAATGGATAGCTGTCGTCAGGGAGGTTCCCGGGGCTAAAACAAAATGCTCCGAGGCGTTGTGATATGAGCACAACATAAATGCAAGTTATAGTTAACATTTTAATTGTATACTGTACATCAATTACAATGGATGTAAGTGTACAGCTTCTGAATAACTGAAAAATGAGAATAGGGTTTACCCTTTTTGGCAATAACACAGGATATTCAAACACCAGATACCTTTTGCAAGGAATCAGGTCTGCATTAACCACACGTACTTATGGTGAACATGCAATAAAACTTTGATAATATATGGATTGTCTTTGAAACTGGTTGGCCTACACCAGAGGCAGCCTTCTTTGTGGCCTCGTCCCACCAGCGTCAGATCAGAGAAAGCCAAAGGGCGAATAGCACGAAGACAACGCAAGTATTTATAGCTCGAGGCGATCAGCTACATCATGGCATCTTTCTGCCAGTTTAAAAGTATGAAAAATAAGAATAGGTTTGACCCTTTCTGGCAATAAAACAGGCGTTAAGATCCTCAAACGTCAAATAGGTAAAACCTATTCTTATTTTTCATACTTTGATCATGGTAAAAAAAAAAAGGTTTTCTGAACATCATTGTTCTTTTATTTTGAAGGACAATGCAGTACGCCACGCGATTGCACAACCGCAGAACTTGCAACTCGGACGGGGTCTGTTTAAATGCGTGCCGTGTGTGCCCCTCTGCACTGCGGGCAGCACATGGCCCGTTTTGGCTGAGCTGCAGAAACGAGGCTTATGGGAGTGCCTAATGGCCCGGCACTAGCGCCAATAAAGCCACTTTCCATGTTAAATGCGGGCTGGTCCTGGAGGCCTCCCTGGCTTAATTGACCAGCAGCAGAAATGCCCCAAAGTGCAGCAGGAGCTGATGGAAACGTGCTGTGACTTTGCGCAAGTAAATAATGCACTGTATTTTGATGTTTATCCGTAGATTTGTAGCGTTCCAATCCTCTAGGTGCTGAAAGGTAATTAGACTAATGGATAAACTGTGTTGGGATATTATTTGGTTAATATTTTATTTGAAATGATTTATTGTTTTCTACCTTCTGGCAGGGCTAAAACTTTCATGCAGATGACTTTAACCCTGCCTGTGCCAGTGTAGTGAATTGTGTTCACGATGAAAATCTGGAGATTTTTCGTGTTTCAGAGACAATGGAGAAAGAACCAAGAATATACATCAGTGTTCTGATGTATATTCTTGGTTCTTTCGGTAAAGTCACGTAGAAGGGAAACAATGAAATAATACAAAAATGGTTCTTTCGGTAAAGTCACGTAGAAGGGAAACAATAAAATATTAAAAATATAAAACAATATTATTATTTTTTATTTATTGTTTCCCTTCTACGTGACTTTACCGAAGGAACCAAGAATATGAATCCCTGCAGTCACGAAAGCTTTAAATCAGTGTTCTGATGGTCTTCGTGTGTATATTCAAAGTAAAAATAATGTTCCTTTGATTTTTTTCTAATTGCAAAAACTTTGCCGTTTGACTTGACATTTATGTACGTGTGCATTATGTGTACAGTAACTGTGAAATTTAAAATGATTTGAATAAACGAATAAGCACCAAACACGACAGTGCTGTGAGAAAAGACAGCAAAAGTTTGTGGCGTCCAGCATCCCGGCCCCTTTTACATCATAGTGATAGTTGGTGCCACTAAATGTTTTCTTTTCTTAAGCATAATTCTCTAGAATTGTGTTGCTTCTTCATGTGTACACTTTAACGCGCCACGGTATCAAAATGTCAGTCAGTCTTCCTGCAAGCGATGAAAACGTCCTGCAGATGTCAGCCACCACTCTTCTTGCACTTGACAAATATTCTCGATGCTCTTCCTGTGCTTTTAGACCAATGAGACAGCCCGCACTCGTGCATGAGGGTGTGTATTGGTTACTTAGCACGAAAGAGTGCTTGTCTCATGTTTTCAAAGTTGAGAGTTCACGTCTCAGGTTCGACTAACATCATCATCATCATCTCTGGGGTCAAAGAAATTAGCATCTCTGTATTTTCTTAGAAAAGCAACTACATGTGTCCTGTGATGAGGACAGGTCCTCCATCATGTGAATGCGGAATTTCAAACACATTCTCATGAATCGTAACATATATATAAGCACTGCCCATTGCTCATAAATATTCGGGCACAGTTACATTGGCTTTATGGTTACTTGGTCGCCACGCCCCAACTGATCCAAAAATTCATACCTAGCTTGAGAAGAGAATTCCAATTGCAGTACAACTGTGGTCACTGTCCAGTATTAAACCTTCACAAAAAGTTACCGCACTTAATTAACAATGCACGATCACATTTTGCTCAAGCGCATGCATATAGGTCAAGGGGATCTAAACCTGATGAGAGCTGAAGATAGATACGGGAATCGTGTGAGGTTTGGCACAATTCCCACAAGTCTGGTACAACCGTGCAAGTTAAACCTCTACCGAGCGTGACGGGACAGGACGAGAGATGAACGACACGGCAGGAGGAAGTGGGATAGGAAGGCTTAACCCTCGGATCAAATGAGAAGCAATGATGCCAAAAATTAGGTGCAATCCAGTCATTTAGTTCGGAGCTTTGCACACTCAACACAGTGGACCTGCTGCGCATCATGTGGCCTATTAAATAAATGACCAAAGCCTTGCACTTGCAATGTTCCTGGGAATTGGTCATTTAAATGCTGGACTTTCTTCTGAAAGCAAGATTGAGAATAACGATATACTTGCACCATAGTGAGGATAATAATGTTAGAGAGAATGCTATAAGGAGTCATATTAGTGTGCTGCCAGACCTCGGACGCAGATGGGTAAGAGAGAGTATTAGTGATGGATGAGCACACAAATTGGCAAGTGGGTGGACTGGTGAGTGGTGAGCAAAATGCTGAAGAAAGTGAGACGGTGTGTTAACATGCAAGCGTGCACGATAAGCAGGTGCACGTGTTATGGAGTGGATTAGAGTATAGTCTTTAGGGCATGTGCATGTTAGATGACTGAATGTTAATGCAGAAATGTAAAGACATTATAAAGTACACAAATATTCAGGCAGGGGTGTATAGGGTAAACCCAAATGGTAGCACCTCTGCATAGCAGACAGCCACATCCACAAGTGTGGTATGTCTGTATGTCTGTTGAACTTCTTTTGCACCGTACACAGCCAACCGTGCTAATCGGAGGTGCGGGGGAAGGACAAAAAGTTGGTGCTTGCAGTTGGTCCTGACGACTCGCTTAGCTCTCTGTGACACTGTGACCTTGCATCAGCTGGCATGCTAACTGTGACAGCCAATAGTGAATGAGCGAGGAGTTACACTCGAACAAGTGGTCAATTCTAAGGACCGTTTAAACTGAACAGAAACAAATATGATATTGGCCTCAAAGCACTGGTCCAAGATTGCAACAACAAAAATCATTGAGGATTAACATGGAGAAAACTAAAATTATGGAAATCTGCAGACAAGAGGAAGAGGTAAATGTTAAA